GGGGGGGCACGAGGAGGGGGCTGCGGGCGGGGGACGGGGGTCCCCGACGAGGCGGGTGCTGCCAGGGCGGCGCAGGGCACGCTGCTTCCCCTAACCCCCGCTGCCGCAGGTGGAGACCATCGGGGACGCCTACATGGTGGTGTCGGGGCTGCCGGTGCGCAACGGGAAACTGCACGCCCACGAGATCGTCCGCATGGCCCTGGCCCTGCTCGAGGCCGTCAAAACCTTCAAGATCCGGCACCGGCCCAACGACCAGCTCCACCTGCGTATCGGCATCCACACCGGTGAGCCCACGCGTGTGAGCCGGTCCACACCGGTGAGCCCCAAGCTGAGAGATGCCAGAGGGCACAGGGGTGTGAGGGCTGCTGTCACCCCGTGGGTGACATAGGTGCCATGCTCAAGGATCCTTGGAGAGGCACTCAGCTGGGACTGCAGCTGGGAGACGCTCACCCATCCTGCAGCAGGTCACCACATCTCTGTGCCTATAGGCCCTGTCTGTGCTGGCGTTGTTGGTCTAAAGATGCCCCGCTACTGCCTGTTTGGAGACACGGTGAACACAGCCTCCCGCATGGAGTCCAATGGCCAGGGTGAGTCCCGAGGCCGGGGCCAGCCACGGGCTGCTGGCTTCTCCAGGGTTCATAGCTGCAGGTGGCACCCCCGTCCCAGGCCCCAGCAATGTCTCTTTTCCCTCCCTGTGCACCCCAGCCCTGAAGATCCATGTCTCGTCCACCACCAAGGAAGTCCTGGATGAGTTTGGCTGTTTTGAGCTGGAGCTGCGTGGAGATGTGGAGATGAAGGTGAGGCCAGCATTGGGTGGTGGGCAGGGGGCCTGGTGGAGGACCCCAGCCAGGTGCTCTGGACTGAGTGGTGTGGTATGGTACTGGGGGCCCCGTGCCCCTTGGCAGATCCTAGGCGATCTGGTAGTCTGCAAGGTCGCATCTGAGAGGGCAGTGGATGGCACCAGCTCACCTGCACGAGGGCTGGACGGGGTCCGCACCGCAGCCAGGCCATGGGCTCAGGAAGGTCTGGCTCCGGTGCTGACCCAGTCATGGCTCTGAATGCTTCCCTCTGCCCCCAGGGCAAGGGCAAAATGCGGACGTACTGGCTGCTGGGTGAGAGGAAAGACCCCAAAGTCATCTGAGAGAGGGCAGTGGATGGCACCAGCTCACCTGCACGAGGGCTGGACGGGGTCCGCACCGCAGCCAGGCCATGGGCTCAGGAAGGTCTGGCTCCGGTGCTGACCCAGTCATGGCTCTGAATGCTTCCCTCTGCCCCCAGGGCAAGGGCAAAATGCGGACGTACTGGCTGCTGGGTGAGAGGAAAGACCCCAAAGTCATCTGAGCCCAGCTGCGCCACCGCTGTGGAGCCC